GTCCAGGCCCGAAACGTCAGCCGTCCTGCTCCTCTGATGCTGCTTGGCCTGCTGTGTTTATCCAGCTCTACACCACCTTATCTCAGATTCTCCAGCATCTGCAGTTCCTACTATCTCTGTACTCAAGTAAAATGGTTTTCATCATAGTGTCTAAAATGAGGCTACAAAGATAGTAGATGTGGGAAGAATGCAGAGTTAATGTTTTGAGTCCAGTGACTCTTCTTCAGACTGTTAGCTAGGAAAAAGTGTTATTTATGCTGAAGCCAAAGTGTTGTTTGGGGAAAGGTGTTGAAGGGGGGTGGTGAGTGGATATGTGGACTGCCCGCTGGACGAGCGTTCTGATGAAGAGTCACTAGACTTAATGTTAACTCTGCTTTCTCCCAGCAAATGTTATCAGAACTGCTGAGTTTCTCCGGCAATTTCTGTTTTTGTTTCAGATCACCATCTGCAATTCTTTCTTTTCTTTTAAGATAATCGGTGCATTTGTCATGGCTTTCCAAAATTCCTGAGATTCTGGAAAAATGTCAATAGATTGAAATGTAATACCAGTGTTCAAAGAAGGAGGGAGGCAGAAAGCTGGAAACTTGGGTCAGTTAGCCTCATGTTTGTCATAGCGGAAAATGCTAAAGTTCTGTAGTAAGGAGGAAATAGCAAAACATTTCCCAATTATATCATAACCTTTTCAGAGTCAGCATGATTTTGTGAAATGAAAATCAATTTTAATAAACTTACTAATTTTTTTGAGGTCAAGAAAGGGAAACTTTCGAAATGATGTATTTATATAACCAATTGATCAATTGGGTCAATGGGTTGAAGAGTGGCAGATGGACTTTAATTTGGATAAATGTGAGGTATTGCATTTTGGAAAATCAAACAAATACAAGACTCTTAATTGTAAAAGTAGGGCCTTGGGTAGTATTATAGAGCAGAGACACCTAGTGATCTTTGAAATTTGCACCACATATAGATAAGGTGGTTACAAAAGCATTTAACATGCTTGCCGTCATTGCTCAGACCTTTGAATATAGAAGTTAGGATGTTATGTTGAGGATGTACAGGATGTTGGTGAGGCCTCTTCAGAAGTACTTCTAGTTCTGGTTGCCCTGTTGTAGGAAGAATATTATTAAGCTGAAAAGGGTTCAGAGGAGACACTAGGATGTTGCAGGGAATGGAGGGTTTGAGTTAGAGAAGCTGAATAGGCTGGGACTTTTTTCACTGGAACGAGGAGGTTGAGGTGTGACCTCCTGCATTTATGAAATAATGAGGAGTATAAATAAGGTGAATGGCAGGTGCCTTTTCCCTATGGTGGGTGATTTCAAGATGAGGGGACACATTTTTAAGGTGAGAGGTGAAAGATTTCAAGAAAGACAAGGCAATTTTTTTGAGTTGTTCACATGTGGAATGAACTTCCAGAGGAAGTGGTGGATGTGGGTACAGTTAGTGTTTAAAAGACATTTAGATAATACATGACTGAGAGATTTCGTGGGATATGGGCCAAGCGCGGGCAGATGGTACTAGTTTAGTTTGGGATTATGGTTGACATGTTCTGGTTGGACCAAAGGGTCTGTTTCCATGCTGTATGACTGACTCTATAACCAAAAAAAGTATTTGACAAGGTGCCAAAGTAAAATACACAAAGTAAATGCATATGGAGCAGAGCTATCTTATGAGGCATATTGGCGTGGGTAAAGGATTAATTAGCTAACGGGGATCAGACTAGACATAAATGGATCACTTTGTGTTGGCAAGCTGTTTACTAATGGAGTGCCACAGGATCTTTTATTCTTAAGTATTCACAATCTAGATCACTGACTTGGATGAAGGCACCAAATGTATGGTAACTAGATTTACTGATGACACACAAGTAGCAAAGTAACTTGTCAAGATGACAACATAAAGGGTCTGTAAAGGGGTAGAGATGTTAAATGAGTGGGCAAAAAAAATTATACTCCATCTACCAATGTGGGAAAATGTGAAGTTATCCACAGTAGAACGCAGTATACTAGAATGGAAAGAGATTGCAGAAGTTGGTGGTATGGAGGGGTCTGGGTGTGCTGGTACGTAGAGCAGAAAATATTATATGCAGGTACAGGAAGTAATTAGGAAGGTAAATGGAATATTGTTTATTGCAAGGAGAATTCAGTTTAAAACAATGCTGTAGCGTCCAGTGTCCTAGTTAGACCACATCTGAAGCAGTGTGTACAGTTTTGGCCTCGTTACTTAAAGGATATAATTGTGTAGAAGTCAGTTTAATTATGCAAGTGTACAATTGCATTAGAAGCAGTTCTGAGACAGTTCACTTGAATCCTGAGATGAAGTAGTTATCTTAACAGGTGAAGATGAACAGGTTTGACATACGCCCAAAGTTTAGAAGAATAAGAGCTGATGTTATTAGAGCATTTGAGATTAAAGATGGAGAACAGATTTTTCTTTTTGTTTGTAGTTTTGTCTTCCACAGAAAGCAGCAGAGGACAGGGTCATCGATTACTCATCTAACTTAGCCTTTGATTATTCAATGAGAGGATTGAAGGTTATTGATGGTTTGGGGAGTGTGCAGAAAGGCAAGTACAGTTGAGGGATAAATCAGATCATCCGTGATCAAATCAAATGGTAGAGCAGACTTGATGTGTTGTGTGGCCTATTCGTACTCGAAATTTGTGTCCTTGTGTATTCAAGCCATTCAATATTTAAATAATTTATTTCTTGAAACAGTTTTTAAAAATATTTCCTGAAAGTTTACTATTCGTTATAACTGGTTTCAGTGTAATTGAACAGCTTGGAGGCAAGCAACTTGTCATGAACCATATGCATCATGAAGATCAGCAAGTGCGCTACAATGCACTTTTGGCAGTTCAAAAACTGATGGTACACAACTGGTATGTATTATCTATAATAACAGTAAACTTGGTACATGTGTTGTCCACTCTCTTTCTTTGAAAGTCATCTTAATATTTTCAGGAGAAAATACCATAATATATTTTTTAATTGACGGTTCTGCTTTAAATGCGTGTTTCTTCAACATGGATTGGCTTTAACACAATTGAAGAATTAGAACGTTATTTGTAGAATGCAAACTTTCCTTATTTGTATTGGTTATAATGTCAGTCTGGTATCATTAGTTTAAATGGCGCCATTATTGCACAATTTTCTTATAACTTGAGATCGCATGAGAACGAAACTATCGCGTTGTATCAGAACTGACTGTACCTGTGTTAATACTAAGCAGTTTCTGCCAAAACATTCAAAAATGAATTGAAAAGCAAGATGATGTAGATTTACTGGATATCTAAAATAAAAGCAAAATACTCAAGTTGGGCAGCATCTGTGGAGAGAATCAGTTCATGTTTGAGGTCTGTGATGTTTCATCACAACTGGGAAAAAATTGAAATACATTTTTAAGCAAGGGGTGGGTGGTACAAAAGCAGAAAGAAGACTTGTTAAAGGGTTGAAGACTGGAGTAACTGGCAGAAAAGGTGGACAAAATGGTGAAGGGACAAGAAATGAAGAAAAAGGCATTTCTAGGGAAACCTGCTCCCATGCTGATGTCCCTCTCCTCTGCCTACTGCACTGTTCCAATGAACAGCGAGCTTGAGGAGCAGCACCTCGTCTTTTAAATAAGCATTTCAAAGCCATCTCGGTATAAAGTTCAATTTCAGACTACAACCTACATCTTTCTTTCTTTTCTTTGCATGTTTCACTTTTCCTCTTTTTTTTTTTTTTTTTTTTTTTTTGCAATCAGCAGCACACCTGCCCTAGAAACATTTTGTTTCTTTGCTTCTTTTTTTTGCCCCATTTCCATTCCCTTTGGCCTTTTAAAACTGAGTGTTCTATCATTCATTAGTGAATTCTGGGTTGAGAAATGAAATTACGCCAGTAAAGTCAGTTTAAGTGTATTGTTTTCCGGTCTATATTTGTCACCTTTTTTCTAAATGATTTAAATTTCTAATATCTTTAATTTTTAATGTGTCAAGATTTTAAACAATGTAAAATTTAAAAGTATTATTTCACAAAAGTTTGACACTTGCATTGTTTCATTTTTTAATACTTTTCAATTTTTTATACGAATAATGTATCTCTTCAAAGAGTGGGGCATTGACTTGTTTTACACTGATGGTTTTACTGGTTTACACTGAATCCAAGCTGCAATCTGAATGTGTGCAGTGTTTCTAATCTTCCAGAATACGTTCACTACTAAATTAAAACTGGTAGAATACTTTTCTTCATCTTTCTTAAGAGAACTGTCTGGTAGCTTTTCAAAATTGATTTTAAAATGCTGGAAGACTAATTTTTAAAGAGCCTTCTTTGGCTAAACATTTAACAGTTGACAGTTCATTGGTCAATTCTCTGACAGTGTGCAGTGCCATCAGATCCCTGCTTTGCAGCCAAATCATAGTATCTCTATGGAAAGCATTCTTGCAAAAACAGACTTCAGAATCTTTTATTTTGCTTGATTTTTAATGCTGAGTACTTAAAACAAACCAAGCATATTTGTTACCAATGTGGTCTTGTGTGAAAGTTAGATGGTCCATTGGACAAAATTATATTTGGGAATTGGCAGCGAAGCAAAATTTAATTTTGTTTGGTAGTATTATTGACCTTTTTATATTTCACTTTTATCATTCCACCTTTCCAACCCATTAATCGCAATAAATTTAGGATGGGAACAAAGAGGTGACCAGAATACTTAAAAAGTCATAATCATCCAAACAAGTTATAATCACAAATGTATTATGTGAAACTGAACAGTAACAATTGTTCTGCCTTTAATGGCTGTGAGAGCCATATACTAGTCTAATTTCAGTTTAATATTTGCGAAGATGCTTTTATAGGAACTTCCTAGTTAATTTGCAAAGAGATGTTTATTTAAAATGTGCCATAGGAAATGGGATGTTTTTAACTCAGGATAGATTTTCAAATATTTGTTTCCAAAAAAAGTAGAGTTGGTGGGACCACATTTGAAGAACTAATGTAAAGTTTGAAGTCAGCGGACACCAGCTTATAGTCTAGCAGGTTCATTTGAAATTACTTCTCCGGAAGCTTGAGATTTGGACTATAACCTGGTGTCATCTGACTTCTGACCTCGTCCAAAATCAGCCCTTCCACATCAAATGTAAAGTTTGGCCTCCTTATTTACGAAATGACGTAACTACATTGGAAGCAATGCAAGGAAGGCTTACTAGACTGGCTGTGGTAAAGAGGTTGTCTTATTCCAGACTTTCTGCACAGGTTAGGCTTGTAACCATTGAAATTTAGAAGTGTGATGGATGATCTGATTGAAATATACAAAACCCTGAAGAGACTTAACAGGGTAATTGCTGAAAGGACATTTCCCTTTATGGGAAACTAGAATTAGAGAATACGGTTTAAAATGAAAATCTTTCTCGTTTAAGACCAATGAAGTTTTTTGTAGTTGTACGGCTGTTAGTCTGGGGAATTATCTTCCCCAGACAGCAGTAGAGGCTGTCATTGAATGCTGTTTGACTCCCATGTCTGTCAAAAATCTAAGGGTAAGGGGGTTAGGCAGGAAAGTAGATTTAAAACCACAACAAGATGAGCCATAACCTTAAGAAATTTTTAAGCAGTCTTAAGGAATCAAATGACCTATCCCTGCTCCTAATTTGTATGCTTGGATGCCACCTGTGTTAGCTTTTTTTCAAACAATCTTCTATAAGTTCTGTAATGCCCTTTTTCTTCCTCACTATGACTAATATCTTTAGTGTCCTCTGAATCTGTACCTACATTCTTCCACACTTCTGCAGTACCAAAGCTATTTTCATTCGCATCAGCTAACTGACTTTAAATGTATTCCTCAATCCCATAATCATCTTGTTGCAACTTTCTGTTGAAGGAAATGGAGATATTTTCCATGTTTTGTCAATTAGGAATTATGGATAACAGTTTTAAAAATGTATCTTCCACAGCAGCATGGTGGCTTAGTAGCTAGCACTGCTGCCTCACAGCCCCAGGGATCTAGATTCAATTCCAGTCTTCGGTGACTGTGCAAACTCCAGAGACATTTTCCCTGTGTCTGTGTGGCTTTCATTTGAGTGTTCCCATTTCCTGGCACAGCCCAAAGATGTGCAGGTCAGGTGGATCAGCCATACCAAATTGCCCCGTAATGTCTAGGGTTGTGCAGGCTAGGTGGATTAGCTATGGTAAATGGATGGTTGCGGGAATAGGGTAGAGGGCTGGTTTTGGATTGGAAGCTGTTTGGAGGGTCAGTGCGGATTCAATGGACCTAGCGGCCTCTTTGCGCACTGTAGGGATTCTGTGATTTCTTTGACGTGACTTAAGCCGATTAAAGAACACAGATTTTTTTGGACACTAAAAGTACTGTGCAGGCAATAGTGGAGCATTACTTACCATCACCCATCTCCCCTTAGTTTAAAACTATTACTCTCATGTCTTTCACGATCCAGCCATAACCCCGGCAAAAGCCTCAGTATTATTAGTAACAGGCACCACTTATTGTGACATTGTTAGTAATGGAGAGTAACTAGCTTCTGGTTAGCTGGTAGCTATTGGAAATCGATCTCCACCTGACTTGAGACTTGATCACCTCAAGAGACCAATAAGTGCCTGATTACACTTAAATACACTTACACCTCCTAGAACGAAGCAACATGGACTCATTGCAAATTCTCTAGTAACTTACTAACTATCAAACTGTTGGCTTTGTCATACCCTTATGTCAACTCTGGTATTATTTCTCTGATATGTTGATTTTTCTACTGCAAATTATCCACATACTCTTTACAATGTGATAACACCTTCCTGAAAGAAATCCCTCTGTTTTTTCAACTGATTATTTCACTGTATTGCAGCAAAATCTTAAGCTGAAATCAGCTGATCAACAAAGTATTGTAAAATTTGCTATTTAACTGTACTGAATAAAAAATCCAAGCATTGCATAGCATTTGGAATTCAAAATGGACAGACTTAATTTTATGCAAAGCTTGTATCTCTGTCTAGTCCCACCTTACCTGAAGACTACAGTTGGTTTTAACCCCTTGCAAGAAAAAAAATCAGTGTGCATTTCAAAAGGGAAAATCTTTCCTGATTTTTTTTTTGAGCAGCAAGTAGAATAGAAATGCAGTAAATGTAAATTACCTAGATTTGCAAACGGTCTTCATTAAGGTACCCCATAACGTTTTAATCTGTTCATGGCTGTCACTAGGCCAGCATTCATTGCCCATCCCCTATAGCTGAGAGAGCAATTAAGAGTCTCAACTGCATTATTGTGCATCAGATGTCATATGTAGACTGGGCCAGGTAAGGATGACTGGTTTCTTTCTCTAAAGGACAATAATGAACCAGATGGGTTTTTACATCAAAAAGTATTAGGCTCGCACTTTTTTTCCAGACCTTTTTGAAATGGAGTTCAAATCCATGCCTCTGGAATGTTCACATCAAGCTCTGGATTCCTAGTTTAGCGGCATTATCAGTACTACTCCACCTCTCCAAATAAATAAGATCACAAAATGCAGAGACAGAGTTTGAAGAGAGAATGGATCAGTTAAGACTATATTCACTGCAGATTGGAAGAATGGGGATGGGGGTTGTTGGAATCTTTTTTTTTTCAAAAAAAAAATGTAAAATTCTGACAGGGCTAGGCAGGCGAAATGCAGGATGGATGTTCCAGGGATGTAGGAGTCTCAATCTATGGATACAGGACAGGCTATTTAGGACTGAGATGAGAAACTTCTTCACTGAGTTGTGAGCCTGTGAAATTGTCGACCACAGAATTGCCTGAACGTTGAATGTTTTCAAGGGGATATAATCTTTTGAGGCTAAAGGGATCAAAGGGTATTGGGTGAAAGCAGAAGCAGGATAAGGAGTGAGATGATCCGTCGGACCATGTTGAATGGTGGAGCCG